TGGCTGAGTTGGTGACTGAAAGGAAAATCATGAACACAGTCACACTGAAAGCCCAGCCCCACAACTGCTTTTCTCCTGGTATTTCTTACTAATTTCTATGCATCCTTTCTCTTGAAATGTTAATTGGTTATTTAAGAATGGTAGTTTTCTTTTTCCTTGAGATGAATTCTAGGGGAAAAAATGTATTCTGTATTTGTAAAGTGACAAGGTGCTTAAAAGTCCTAATGGATGTGAAAAGTATCACTTGGTGATATGCGTATTCAGCAGGTACTTAATGTGCAGATTTGTTGGAGAACCAGAGAGGAAAGAAAGGATGGAGGGAGGGAGGGAGGCAAGGACAGAGGGAGGGAGGGAGGCAGGGACGGAGGGAGGAGAGCAGGGATGGATAGAGGGAGGGAGGGAGGCAAGGACGGATGGAGGGAGGGAGGGAGGCAGGGACGGAGGGAGGAGAGCAGGGAGGGAGGAAGGGAGGGAGGAGGAGCCCTGCTCAGGAGTCAGCGGGGCTCCACTCCCTCTGATTTGTGCAAAATCATACTCCTCAAGTCACCCTGAAATCACAACGTGTCCTATTTTTTCTGTCTTGCCATGACTTACTTATGAAAGCCCAAGAAAGCCAAGGAAAGGAAAGAGACAAACATCAAGTGTAAGAGTACTGACACAAATCTATCAGGGCTTCCCCTGGACTTAGAGTGAATTCTTTCATCTTGTACTTGGTCTTTCCTATGCCCACATCTTTCTAACAGCTACTGTCTGTCTGTGGGAAGGACCTTGAGGTGCTTTCTTGTAGGGGCTACTTTCCACGGAGCCACCCAGGTATCCCCCTGTAGGTATTGAGCCGCACCTGCTCCTCTCTGGGACAGGAGCAACCTCTGTGACAGGTGCACTCTGCCGATCTCCAGGGAGTTTAGGCTGCCTGACGCCCCTGCCAACAGTGGACAGTGGCGAGTCTTTTCGTGCAGTCACCAGGATTTCTTAGCAACGCAGCTTTTGCATCCGCCACTGTGCTGCATGCGGGAGGACACCCACCTTATCAGGGTCCTAATCTGCATTTCTCCAAGGGACAGTGATATCAAATGTCTTTCATGTGCTTATTTGACATTTCTATCTCATCTGCTGAAACAGCTTCATGCCTTTTGTCCATTTTCTACTGAGAATAGAACACCTTTTCCACGGTTAAATTTGGAGACGTCTTTATACATTTTTCATTGGCTATGAGGCTTTCAACACTTGGCCTCATGGGGTCGCTTGACTTTCCCCGCTTTTAGTGGGGATTTTTGAAGATTAAGAGCTTTTCATTATTATGTGATTTGAAGCAGTCTTTATTCTTTGCATGACTCCCATGTCCGTTGTCAAGTTTAATGCTTGTAAGCCTCGAACTAGATTCACATATTTCCTTAAGTTCGTGGTCTGTTTTGAACTTTGTTCTGTAAAGTGTGAAACGTCTCTGCCTTCAAATAACGTCTCTGTTATTTGCACCCTACAATACTGTATCTGTGTGTGTCCAGCTACTTCAGCGCTTTCGGGTGACACCCATCTGCCCTCTGCTCAAGCACCTCGGACCTTTGTCCACAATCGGCTGAGCACATGCATGAGTCTGTGTTCCACGGCTCTCGTTCCTTTGAGCTGTAATTTGTCCACCAAATTACATGTTAGTGTAGTAGGCCCATGTGTAGATCGAGTCTGTTGATTTTATTCTTTTTCAAGATTATAACTATTTTAAGAGCTTATGCTTTTACAAATAAATTTTAGAATAAGCCTTGTGTCTTCATTAATTCTCTCTTTGGTAAGACGAAATACCTGACACCCCAAGTGAACGGGGAAAGGTTCATTTACTCACAGCTTGTAGAGGGTTCAGTCCACAGTTGGCCAGCTCCAAGATAGGGTGGTGTGGCAGAGGGGCACCACAGAGGAGGAACAGCTTATGGAGGCAGAAGGTAACAAAGCAACAAGGGACCTTACAGCTTCTTTCTGCCCTTTTATGCCCTATCTGGGGTACTGGGACCAGGGCGGTAACAAGCCAGTCATGGACTGATTTAGTAATCACACACCCTTAATCCCAGCACCACACACTGTACCAGCCACCTCTAACACTGACACCTGAGGCTTTGGAGCAGGGTGGGGGCGGGGCATCTGGCTACAGCCACAGCACCTGCCGCATGTACCTAACGTGGTTTTCAGCAGGAATGGCCCTGGCCTCGCCAGTCATCCGCGGATAACTGACGCGTTGCTGCTTGCAGCCTCCGACCCCTGCGCACGGTCTGTGTCTGATGTCACTCATCCGCACCCAAGTACTGTTAGGCTGCTGTTAAGTGCACACCGAAGTATTTCACTCTCATAATTGTTTCCAATTTCAGTTTCCATGTATCACTGGAAATACACAGCAGGACAATGGTGCCTGATTCACCAACTTAATTCTTTCCATGATTCTACTCATAAACCAAA